GGGGCTGGTTGGGTGGTCTGGGGGGCGCGCACCACTGTTTTCTGCGTAATGCTTAACCTCTGCTGACCTGCTCACACATCGCTTACACACTGTACACCTTTTTTCTCCGCTCCTGTTCTTAACCTTAAAATCGGCTGCGTCCCCAATGCAAAAGGTGTTGCACTGTTTGGTTTTGCGTATGACGTAAAAGTCGCACGTGAGTATACTTTTTATTATAGTGTCAGATGTGAGTGAATCTGCCTCTTTCTGTCCTGCGTGATCCCGCAGGAATGCTGAGACAGTCCCGGGGGTCTCCATGAGAGATGAAAGAAGGGCAGGCCCAGCCAGCAACGTCCAAAAAGGTAACGCCAACCCCAAAAAACACCAAGTGATTCTCCCACCCGTTAGTCTTAGTTGCTCGGCCGACCTGAACTGCTAAAGATGATTATTCTCGTTATCTGTAGGTGATTGACCTGGGTGTTGGAGACAGCAGCATCAAAGAGTAAAGCATGGTCTTGAAGAATAAGTGCGCGCAAACAAAATCTCCTTTTTCTTTTTGTGATTTTTTTTCCTCAGGCTAAAAGAAGGCTTCTAAACCCTTCTTTTTAAAGGCTGGATGTTGTCAACATGTCAACCAGCACGACCCTAACCCAAATCCTACAACCAGTCTCTAGCATGTTCCAGTGGGCCAATAGGACTCTCAGCCCTCTAACCCTGACCCAATGCCCCTAACACTGGGTCTCCAGCCATGAGAACCAGAGGCAGGTAGGGAGGGAGGTCGGGGTGGTTCGTGCCCATGGCCGACACCCTGTTCTAGGCTGTCCAGCTGGAGGCCGGTGCTAGGATTTGCGGAGAGGCATCCCGTTAATTCAGAAAAACAGAGGCAAATTGGTTTACGAAGTGATTTGTGCGTTTTATTATATTGTTTCTTCAGCAGTACTTTTACATTGTTGTACTGCTACTTTCACTTAACTAAAGGACGTGAGTACTTCTTTCACCACTGCTGGCAAGTTAGGCCATTTTTCCTCAGTGTTTATATTCCATCAAACAAAAACACCTGATTACAATTTACAAGGCGAGATATTGGCAAAAATTGCAAAACAGACAAATGGTCTTGTTCCTATTATTGTGCTAATTTGTTGCGACTATTAACAAACACAACATATGGTCAAAATTTGCAGTACAAGGCCTGGATGCATGGAAGCATAGAAAATAAATAAAGAGAGGACAGTGCTGACTGTGTGCGGGCAGAGAAAAAGACTAACCTTGAGATAGAATTTTGAGATATCAAACAGCCTTTTGCTGCAGGCCTCAGAGCACTCATGCTCGGCAGTGATCCCGTGCTGTTTCAGTGTTTTAGCTACTACATCCAGCAGCATCTGAGGACACAAAAGACACACAAACAATTCCATGTTAGCACAATCGTGAAAACATTAAATGTAGTTTTGTTTACTCCCCAAGCACCCGACACTAACGTGGTTCAGAGAGACTAATTTTAGCACCTCTCTCTTTTTAAAAAGGAAGGGATGTCAAAGTGTCTTGACTTTGGGGGATGTCCTCGCACAGAACAGCACGCCTCTACGTTTGCAGTGTGAACTTGCAATGTACAAACATACAAATATTTTACTGGTAGCGTCGACGGGGACAAGACATTCCTGAAATAAATAGATCTGCCTTTAATCTTGTCACAGCAACTGTGCTGAAGAAACACCATCAATTATTGTGAGGAATCATCTGTGCCACTCAGTCTCATGAGGAGTAGAAAGGCAGCTTTTAATCTCTGTCCCAAATAAACTGCTATCATTATTTCTGAATAGGACCAACTGTTCTTTCCTATACTTGGGTTTGGATGATAAGCCTGTTTGCATAGTAATCACAAATCAGAACAAGTCAAGGTCGGCATGCAGATTGTGAGCTGTACGTGGGACAGAGCAAAACGGCGTGTAGGTGTGGGAGTATGTGTGTGTGCAGGTATCCACGTATGTTTCTGTCATTGCGCACACTGTACCAATACGCTAAGGAGAGAGCGAATAGTGTGCGTGTGTGTCTGTGGAGGCAGGCAGCAGGCGATCTGATAATGGTATAGTTGTTAAAGTGATTCTGCCATGACATTATCATGCAGCCCACACAGAGATCACACGCAAAACGTAAAAACATTTATCTTTGCTGGAGCTGTCGTACAACTCTCATCTGTAGTAGAAAGACTGCAAAAGTGTTTTGCTGTGTGTCTGTCTGCCACTGTTAAATTCATTGCTAAACAGGTAAATATTACAGGAACTGGCACCGGTCATCTCATCTATCGGTTTTGGTAACGTTTCTCTCACCAAAGTAGCTGAGATCTTGTTTAGTTGTCGCACAATCACTAAAAATGTGCTTAAAGTATGTCATGATGAGTGTGCCAGTGCAGTTTTACTATATTACTGTGGTGAAGTAATTTAAACTACTGCCATTACATTTGTTTTCAGATGACACTGTGAACAAAACACAATGCTCCTGCCTTCATTAGCAGTTTTATTTTGTTTTTGCCTCTTTACCCATCAAACAGAGGCAGAGTGACCACAGCAGGCCAGCAAACCAGGCTCCTTATCTGTTTAGCTCTGGATACTGAGGCAATGCTAACATTAGTTTGGTGACCTACTGGAGCACTGATGGGTGCAGAAACGGAACAATCAGCAAGGACTCAGCCCTCACATGTGGGGCGCAAGCTCCACCGGGGGAGCCACCAAGGCGCCCCAGAAATGTAACGTTAAGTGTGTGGGCGCATGCATTTTACATGAATAACAAGGAGGAAACGTACTGCGTCAAAAACATGCACTTTATGTTCCTTCTCTGGTTGTTTATGCTCTGTAAGTGTATCTAATGTCGAGTCCAACAGTACAACAGTGCAATACATTGTTCAATTTACAGTTTATTAGGTTTGAAATCCAAACAGTGTGAGTTTCTTTCACTATATTTCAGGTCTAATTGTGGTTTTTGAGGAAAGATGATGATGATGATGATGATATATTTACAATGATGAAACAGCATGACAATGACCTATTACCATTCCTAATCATAACAAACAAAGGGCCAAGGCTATTAAAATAAAACAACAGTTGTAATAAGCCATAGTTTTCCTATTATTCCTATTGATACTGTGTGTTCCTCATTCTCCTTGTGAACTTGTGTGAAACGAGCTTGACCTTGACTGATGAGCACTTGCTTCCAACGTTTCTTTTTTATTATTTAGTTAGAGCGGAGCAGAAGTAAACAAGCGCTGATTAGCAAAATATATTTTTCATTTATGCATATATATTTTTATTTTTCTGTTTTCTTTTTCTATTCAAAAGGTTTTTCGCCTAATGATTAATGAAACTAATGGAACTATTTAACTGAACTATCAAAATAAAAGGAGAAAAAAGCTATTTGGTCCTTGAGTGGAATCCATTTAAAAACTTTTGGGTAGGTGCATCAATCTCTTTCAAGAGGGGAAGCTGCACGTATTCTTGAAGCATAACTTGATGATAACAATTACATAAGGTTTTCATCCCTTTCAAAATGAGACACACACACACACAAATACTCACCCTGTTGTGTTTCTGTGAGCGTGACTCTTTGGCTGTTTTGTCCTCTGTTTGTTCATGATGTGTCTTCTGCTGTTGAGGTTTAGGTTTGTCAGCAGAGGGAAGAGTCACCAAACCTGGGTAGTGATATGAAGAAAAAGGAACAATAAGACATTGCCACCATGGCAGAACAAATCCTTAGCACGTCTGAATAGAATGAGAATTAAAAGAAGTTTAAAAAAACAAAAACTAGAGCCTGAATTCATTTATTTGTTACATTTCAAATGTTTTAACAGGTATTGAAATTGTGAGTAAAATATTTTCCAAAAGAGGTATTGAAATTATACAGAAATAAGGAGAACATAATTTGCAAATCCTTTCCAATATGAGATGATCTGTAAGTGATAACTGGATAGCATAATTGGTAGCTTTTTGATGCTATAATCTCATTTCAGAAGAATAAATGTATTTAATAATAAAATATAAAGTATACTATAAAAATACAGTTTATTATATATGATGATTAAAATTGGTTATGGATATAAATGTTGAGGAACAGTTTACGGATCAATTGTGTTCGTAGCGTCTCGTCAGGCCTTCTTGTTCTCACTACATACACAAAGGTTAAGTCATGAATTCATGGGCACAGAAAGGCTTGTCCTGTGCCATGGTTGTCAAATCGAGTTCTTCTATCTTACTTACTTTCATTAGTGTATACTCACCTGAAAATAAGAATTGAAAGAACAAACTAAACACTGTCGCTAGTTAGTTGGTTACAATCTGCAACTTCAGTGCTAGACGCCACTAAATCCTACACAATGGTCCTTTTTTTTTTTTCATTCTGCACAATTCCACGTCAACACTAATGTATGACTATACGACTGTTGGTTATGCATATTTGCTGCTCTGTGTGTAATTTGATTTAGTCTTACTAGTAGTTCACCTATGATGAGTTTGTCCCCATACAATTAATCTGATAAATTGACTAAACGTTCTAAGCAATGGTGTGCACATTTGCCAGTTTTGAAGTTCTAGCACCTGTACGCTTAACTAGAACAAACTGAGAGAGATGTTTCTAAGATAGTCCTATCATTAATACCACGCACAGATAACAACACTGATCACATTATTGAAATGAAGTATCTACTGTAAAGCAGGATCACTAGTCCCTTCCCATTTAAGAGTAGTGTACCTGAGGATGTCCGTCTTGCTGCTGAAGAAGAAGCAGGACTATTGGACGAGGAGGTGGATTGGGATCTGCTCGGCTGTTGTCGTAGAGACCTAATGGCAGGGTGTGTCCCACTGCTGCCACTGCTCTGAGAACAGAGGGAGTCACTGCTCTCTGACTTCACCAGCCTAGATGATTCAGACAAACACACAAACACGATAAACATTACTAACACTTAACCACATGACCTTCCACATACCCCACCCACAACATCCACCCATCAATGTATCCATCCATTCATATACTTTCTTGTTGCTGACCGGGAGCAACGCACACCATCATCATACCTCTTGCGAGGATGACCTCCAATGACGTCCGTGTCCCACGACCTGCGCTTAAGCCTTGCTACATCAGCGTTCTGCAGAGTCTCCCCGTCAGGCACACTTCCTGGTTCTGACATTACTGCAGGGGAGGGGGCGGGGCTGAGGGCGAAGGGGAGAGCACAAGGCTCCTTCGAGCAGGTGGTTTGGGTCTCGTAGCGAATCAGACGGGACTGGAGTTTTACAAAGGCCTGGTCCCGGTCCAAAGACCGTAAGTTGTCCAGACAGAACCTTGATGAACAAATAAAACAGATTAAAAATTTAAAACTGTAATAATAATAATAAATAAAGAATTCATTAACTGATGTGTCTGGTTACTGCCAGAGCTTTTACTGAGCATAATACATTTTCCACAGCTGCCTGCACTGTATTACAGCAGCTACTGTAGCTGAATAGATGCTGTATACTTTATAGAAACTTACTCTATGCCATGGTAATGTGAGGCTGATGCTTTGTTGAAGGGCATCTGGCTGACTCTCCTGGGAGAGAGGTCTGGTGACAACTGAAACACATTATTACTGAATAGAAAGAGAACGAGACGAACGAGAGAGGAGGGGTGGGGAAAAGAGAGGGAGGAGAAACAAGTAAACAGTTTGTCAAAGAAAATATATCTGTCTCTTCATTAAACCACAAACACAAATTAAAACTAATTAAAACACACACACAGTTTGGCCTGACAGACTTATTAGCGCTAACTGATGACTGCTCTGCTCCAGAATAACGTTGAGTTCAACCCAACTCCATATTTTTTTCTAGAAAGGTTGTAAGCTCTCTGTAGCAGGCTAGTGATCATAATCAAATCCACATTATGGCCTCATTAACTGTCCTTCAGAATAATCCTACACCAACACAGATACCGTTGACATACGTGTATGTGTATGCCTGTGTGATGGCCTAGTTACAGTATATGCACACATAAGCTTCAGTAAGTGCTCACTTTGGCCAATAGGTGATATCTAAAGTTTCATATTAAAGTAAGACTCAGCATGGAGCGAGAAAACATGACTGAACCTACCCTCTATTGATAGCCAGTGGTTGTAGCTCTCCAACAGGCAGGCCATCAGATGTGAAGTGTTTTAGAAGTTCTTTGGCGTCCAATAAAGCAGTGGAGCCCTTTTGACTGTCTTTAGGACCCAGCAGACTGTCACTGGAGCCTGGACCTAGCAGACCAAATCTAAAGACACACATAATTACATTAATTAAATACAGTATATTAAGAACTCAGAGTTTTCACGTGTCTATTTAAATCTCATTTACCTCCTCTTCTGTCGCCTCCTCTGCAGGTTCTCTAAGTTGTGGAGGACGCTCCTCTCGGGCCAGTCAGATTGCAGGTTGGAAACGGTCTGAAAACCTACAACAACAACAAGGCTTAGCTGGTCAGAGTTGTCGTTCCCTTTGATTAAAGGAAAGCTTTGTCAGGAATCATCCGCAAGGTGGCATTATATTACAGAACAGTGGAGAAACTGCCCGCTACGTGGCGTAGGTAACATAGGCACAATATACTGTATGATGGATTGCAAGAGTTATCACTACATTCACTTGAGCCATGTCAACACACTGAACTCTTGGCAGACAGAAACCTGAACGGATAAAATCCCCAAAACATCCCCACTGGACAGGAAGATTGTATGTTAGATCAAGGAAGACAAAAATGTGACAAAGCTATATACAGCAGGTTCACCAATGATATGAGGGTGTTGCATGCACAGCAATGGCCTGAGGTGGTTAAGTGTGTTATACGAAGAGACTGCCAGCAGTTTGACAGCCCACACAGAGTCATTTACACCTTCAGGCGATGCAAATACAAAAATGCAAAAGACATTCCTGAGGGAACGCAGGAGTAGTTTATTGCTGTTCCATATTCCAGAGCAGAGGGTGGGCAAGGGCAATGGGAAAAAATAACTTGATTAGCACTTTAGAATGTATGTTTTTACATGTTTACACTGATCATCACCTCTGCGTTTGAAGCTTACTGGCTCAGTTCTTCTGAAATTCAAGCCTATGCTTTATGTGAGGTCCTGGAGAGCTAAACACATGAACATGAAATCGGGAGGATACACACAAAGGCATTATGTGGTTATGGTTTTAGATTAGTGCTACTTTTGCTGATAGTGGTGTTGGTCTATTCCAGTCTATACATTAGAATTAGACAATAACCATTATGACAGACAAAGTTGTGCAGACACTCTAAAAAATAATTGGCAAATAATGTCACAGCATTTGTGACAGGAAAACTGCTCGACATGCAGGTCTATTAGCCCCACAGCTACATTTTTTAAAATCAGCGCCACCCTCACTATGCACATTGAGCTCTAGCTGCAGGCTGGGACTTGTTTTATTGCTTGTGATTTATTTGCGCGTTATTAGCTGGCATTGTTTCCTAAAACTATCATCCTGTGAACGTGCGTGAAGTGAATACTCATTCACTGCTGTGTAACAATTCACAGGCAAACCGTGTGTTGGTAAATGGATGAACAGACATCAGTGTCCTTGTGATATTTGTTGTACTGTCCATTCTGGGTATATCTTTAGATTTGCTGAATAATCTAAGACAAGTTAACATGATCATTTGATTACAATGAGCATTACATATGCATAACTATTATTAGGTCCCCAGTATTATACTCAGGGCTTCCTTTAATCTGTCACGTGGTCCAAAAACGGTCCAAACTTTTCATGTCAGCGTCCTAACTGTTATTCTGAGTTGGGATCAGGAAATTCTAATGGCAACAATGTTTCCCACTTGGGGTACATCCCAAGTCTCTTATTTGACAATTCCTTGCTCCTCGGTCGAACTAGAAGCTGTTCTGGTCTACCATCCTGCACTTCATCCCAAAGCGCTTAATTTTTGCTCCAAGGAGCTATGAGCGAGGATACATGAGAGCAGCCTTCATGGAAGTCTTTTGCCGACCGACAAACCCCCTTTATTGGATATCAGTTATTGGATTGTACTCAGCCCCGTTCAATATCATCATAATTTATATTACAGTCAGAGACAGTAGGAGAGTCAGTTTATCGTCATTTCATTTTAATTCCTGAGTCGGGTTTGATATGAGTTACTTAATTTAAATTTTCCCTGAAACATTTAGCCTAATAATATAACGATTTCCAATGCTCAAAAGGCACCAAAAGCAATGACTCATTCCCACTGTGTATGTATCTACTGTAGCTTTCAACAGATGTGAAAATACTGTTGGCTTGTTTTCTGTCTCTTCTTACCTGAGTTCTTGGCGGCCATGCTCTCCTTCTCGACTGTCAGAGAGATAGCAGTAGAGGGTAGAGTGGAGTCAATCATCTTCAGATATTGCTCCCTGGCTAGATTTAGAATGACCTTCAGGTCATTGACAGGTATTGAAGTTGAAGCCGATGCTTCTTCTTTCTGTCCTGGACACACAAACAAAAACAGAGGTTAGTTTTCATTTTGGGAACATTTCAAATTTAGTTTTTGGCTCAGTGGTAACCTTGGTAAAGCTGGTGGATGATTTTGGCTTCTGTGTTCTTGTTAGAATGTATTCCTTTATTAGTTTAATTTTAAAGCAACACCAGGTAATTAGTAGTCCCAAATAACAGCAATGCATATGGCTGGGCAATAAACCAACCAAAACAAACACCCTGAAACTCTCACAGAGTAATTTGATTAATTTTATTCTATTTATTGTTGGTATAATAATACTAACTCACTCACTACTCTACACTTGACTGCTAAGTTTCAATTTGCTGCTTCTTGTGTGTAGAGAAAATTCCTCACTAGTGACTACTTCAAACTCAAAAATTCTATGTGAAGAAACAGGGAGAATCTCTTGCATCAATTAGGGCAGACGTGGGTCTTCTCTAGTGTAGCTACAGTGGGTGACCCAGTTCTAAAGAAGCAGTTGTATTTTCACATTAAAATCTTATGTAGGCTTAGCTTTTTCAATGGAACAGCAAACACTCTTAAACTTTCTGGACAAGAAGAGGTAAAGAGGGGCAAGTGAAATGATAAAAGGACATTTTTATAGTATTGGTTAATTAAGAAACAAAAGTCCATGATTGAGCTTAAATGTATTTGATGTATCTGTCAAACTGCACTGCTTTGTGAGTTTTACTTGATATGCAAAATTCTTGAGAAATGTTAACATTTATTAAAAATAATAACACGGTTGTGATGGGATAATTAAAACAAGTTTCATATTACATTAGAAATGGTGGAGAGTTAGATATCCAGTGAAATTGAAACTGAGAAGAATGATTAATGAAGTTGTTGGCACGCGCATGCATCGGCTTGCATACTTATCACACGGACTGATTACAACCTATAAGACAACAGATAGACCCATAGTGCGCACACACACATTTCACATAATCAAAACTTCCAACAGTAGTTCTAACTTTCGCAACTTATAAGGACATGCCTTTTCCCACTTTAATGCCAAGTCAGAATATATTGCGTTGAATTTCATTAAGTCCTGTGGTCTGTCAGGGCTCTTCATTCTGCTCACGGCCTTTTCAAAGAACAGCCCTATTGCTTTTCCTCAAGTCTGTTGAATTTCACTCCACTTCCTTTAATCTGGCTCCACTCCACTGGTGTTTCACTATCTTCGCCTGCCAAGGGGACATTATGCGTGTCTGTAAAATAATGATATTTCAACAGAGTCTTTCTATGCACTAGTCTGCGCTGAGGGCTGGAGAGAGCCGAGAGTTCAAACTGACGACAGTTCAGGAAGCTCCGAGTGGCCCAGACAGTTGATACGTCTCTCGTGTCCATTTGGCTTTGTCTCTGGTATGAATACATATGTTAAAGACTGACATATGCTCTCAATTGAATTTATATTAGTCAACACTGGGGGATTTTTTCTGGCAGGTGAATGAATAAAGTGGACACTGATGGTTTGGTTTTACTGGTTTTGAAGAAAGTATTTTTTAATTACTACATTATCACATACAAATAATGTTTTACATTATAAAGGTTGTGCAAGCTGCAACTAAAGACGATTTTCATTATTGATTAATCTGATTAACTGATTGTTTTTGTCTATAAAATGTGGGAAAATAGGGAAAAATGCTCATAGCAATTGCCCAAGATGATATATTCAAATTTATCCAGTCAAAATGACAAAACCAAAAAATATTAAATTATAATAATAAACTATCAAAATAGTTTGTTTTTTGCAGATTGACTGAACAGTTGAATATTAATCAATTAAATATTAATTAATAAGTATTTTAGTTTTTAGTACATGTTTTTGAAGAGATGCAAGCAAATGAAGCAAACGATATGTGTTCTCCCATCCATGACATTGCAAATGATACAGTGTGTGATTTAATATCAGGCCAGAGTAGTAGTGTCAGTGTGGATAACATGAAGATGATGAGATGGTGAAAAGGACTAATTTAAGATGGGTATGAGCCAGCAGCCATCTTAAGGGTCAGACAAGGGTTAGCAACATGAGGCCAACACATCCTTGGCATGAGTGCAGGGTCAACCATGTTTATATGTGCATGTTCCTTTCTAGAAGTCAAGATGAAATCATCATCAAATCCCTTCTCTCCTCTACATCTCTGTGAGAGATGGCTTATTAATCTTGCTTTGGGGAATAATATTTTGATTGACATATATTAGTGAGCTCAATGAGCTGTTCTGAGGGCTCGCCTTGGATTTCATGCATTAGCATACAAGCAATTAGTAAAAGCACAATGGTAGCACTAAACCACAGCAGAAATGGTGATGAAATCTGTGTGCAAACATTTTATACAGAAATCTACATAATGCTCAACACTTACTTTTTATATATAGTCTGAGATGTGTTTTCCATTTGCGGAGCTTCTTATATGTAATACTTACTGAGGTATTCTTTGAGTAACAGTGTCTGGACCTGGGTCACCTTCCTCTCTCTCTTCAGCAAGCTGTCTCCTTGGAGACAGGGCAGGGGATAGAGGATGTTGCCTACAGCGCCTCCTGGTCAAAGGAGTGAATGAAAAAAAAAAAGAGCCTGATTAGATGATTTGCAAACATCAATTGTGTTTTGCTTGGAGTGGAACTCATAGAACATTTGGATATTCCTCTGGTGGGATCAAAGCCACTCAAACGATTTTACACAAAAAAGTTAATTACTTTAAGTATTAAAAACTAAGGATCTGGGGACTTAGTGGTGTCTGTCCTTAGACCCTCCCTGCCTGTTGAGTGGCATTATGAGGGTTGGTAACAGTCCAGTGTTTTTGGAACTTGACCTATAATAACAGAGAAATGTCAGAATTTCTTTGCAGCTTCGATTTTGACCTACTCTGAAAAGTAAAAGGGGTAAAAGTTTGAAAATTATTATTTTTGGATTCATTGCTTTAACATGGTCAACGAAACTGAAGATTCTATGACCTTCTCAACTTTTCCTCCTACAAATACTCTTATCTAAAATTTATTCCATGGATTAGTATACCGTTTCCCACACTGGGGGTCAGGACGCCTCTAAGGGGTCAAAAGATAAACCTCAGGGGTCATATGATGATTGACAGGGCAGGAAAAATAGACAAAATAGTGTAATTTGTATGACTTTTCTCACCTCTTTGCTTGTTACTTGTAAAGAAATTGCTACTTTTACGTCTTCAAGTCTCAAAAAAATTTGAGAGAGAGGAAATAATATAATTTTGGGGTGGATTTACTCACAACTCACTGACATTATGCAACACATTACAAGAGCTGACAAGTAAACAATGCATCATATGATAAAATGATGGTAAACCACTGAATTAGTATACAATAACAAAAAGATGAAACCAAGATTGCTGCTCCAATATTTTGCAGTAAACAAATGCTTGATGACTGAAATGTGTGATCCCTTTGCTACAAAGAGAGACTAGAGACCCACACAGAAGCCTTATGTTAGTACAAGACACAAAGGTGTACTGAGTATTTCGTTATATTGTTCAGGTGCAATAACCCTCAGGTGTGCATTTTAAGCCTTTTTTATGAAAACTGTGCTGTGCTCAAGCTGTGTCATTGCAGCGGTTAGGGCACCTTTTACAGTCCTGCTCTGCATTTAATAGTATTTCCTAAATGTCTGCAGAAGGTTGCATAAAATGTTAACAACAGCAGTAACTCTCAGGAGGAAACACCACAGGTCTCTTGAATGTCATATAGAGCCCAAGAACAATGAAGGACTTCTATCAGGATAGGAGCTTTAGGTTCAGGGAACAAAAAAATACAACAGTGTGAGATTCATATGTATGTCCTTCTAGTCAGCCCTAACCAGCCAGTTCTTATCTCATCTGCATATACATTCACTCCATTCCTCCCTATCGCCTTTCCTGCTTCCTTCCCTCTTTGTCAATCCATCTGTCCCTTCAGTAGCCTTTCTCGCTCCCTTCTTCTTTAATTGTTTTTATTTCTGTGACAAATGTGAGGAAAACTTTAACAGAATATCCACAACTTCTTAGTGCTGTAAGTGAGGAGGGGGGAAGGGAGGAGAAACAATGAAGGAGGAGGCAGCAAAATAGAGACACGCATCCCCATTTTTGTAATACAGGTTAGCCTGATCAAGGATGACAACCCCTCAAATTCTGTCAACGAAGCCAGAAGGGCTTCTACTTTAATCAAGCTGAGGAGCCACTTTAAGAAATATGGGGCACTTGAAGGGCTTCTTTTTACAATATGGCAGAAAACAAATTAGGGCTCTTTAAACTTGATTACAAGTTTTTCAATTTGCTCTTCCAGAGGGAGCACTGAGGGAGAGACAGGAGGCAAAGGTACTGTATTAGGTGAGGGGTCAGGTGTTATTGTAGTAATTTTTAAAAAAAAAATTTTTTTAGTTTGGACCACTGATTTGGCCCGCTCACCAACATGGTCAGCAGCTGGCGCTGTAGCAGTGGCTGTGACACACAGCACATTAAAACCCTTAATTTCAACACACTTTCAGAGGATATCATTATCAATTCAATTCCTTTGTTTTTTTTTTTTACATGAGTGTAACAAAGACAATATTGCCAAAGCATTAAGTAGAAAAAAAAAACAAATAAGAAAAAAATGCTAAAAATCAAGAAAATATCAGAAAACAAAAACTTTCCCCCGTGTGTGTGCATGTATGTTTGACAGAGATTGTGGAAATTTGATGTATGTGTTTGTGTGTGTGTGTGTGTGTGTGGATGTTCTTGGTTTGTATGATATACTAGCAAAAATCTCCATTGCAAATAAACGTCTATAAATCACTTAAATGAAGTAGAAAAAAAATATGCTCTTTAAAACTCCAGAACTTGCCTGAAAATCACCACGGTTTAAGTTTTTTAAGTTTTCATCAGTAGCAAAGCAATCCCGTGATAGTTAGAGTACATCCATGGATACCCATTGCAAACAGTAACTACTAATAACTAATTCTACTAATGTTTAATGATGCAAAGATGCTGCAACTCAGGGGTTTAAACACATTAAAGTGACACTGAAACATTCAAAGTGACAAACACATAGAAATACACACACACACACACACACACCTCTAACAACATGACAACATAATATACCTGAGGATGACAGAGACTTCTCTCTCAGCAACCCAGAGACGGTTGCCATGGCAGCTGCTCCATTGATTTGACTGTCTGAGTGCAACATCCTGACCCTGCATGTTCCACACCCAACATCCTCTGAGCCCTGGACCAACAGGAAGTAGTGAGCACTCTCACCTTTCACCTCTACATCAGGCACTACAGGGTACAGACAGAGGGAGAGAGATTACATCTGTGGTTATAATTAATATAAATAAAACTTGTTCTATATTTGCTGCACTCAAAGTATGCAATAAAAAATTATATTAGCATTTTAGATTATTTTTAAATTAGATTATTTCCACTTCATATATCATACATAAAAACAATTGGTCAAGTCCATTGTATATCTAATCCTTGCTGTCCAATTCTTATTCTTTACTATTTGCTGCAGGAATCCAATTTCCTCAAGTATATGGTTACATAAGTTCTATCTTGTCTCTTTAATATTTTTTCGGATTGTTCCAGTGGTGTTTTCCAAATTGATTCAGTCCTACTTCTGAGTCTGCTTCCCCAGTGGAGGGCTGTATTATCTTTATCAGTGTAGTCCTAGTCACCAATTTATTTCCCAACAGGAGGTGCTACAGCTCCTCTCTGTAACAGTCATCCATTTAATGAGTTAATAAAAAGTACTTGAACAAGTCTTACCAGGTAAGGACTTTGGTCTCCTAGCTATAGACTCTCTCCAGCGCTGGGAGCTGAGTTGGCTGGCTGCAGGCTGGATGATGGGGGTGATTATACAGGAGAGGCTGAACAATGCTCCAACCTTCGGATAGAAACACAGTACATACACATAAACATACAGTGCAAACAACAGAGCCTCAGTCCCATGAATCACACAGAAGCTGAATCTTATATGCATCTTCTGCTGTACATCCTATTTACATTTGACTGGAGACTAAAGTAGTTAAATTAATTTCCTCGTCAAGCAAAAATCTAAGTTATAATGCAACTAACTTACTTATGTACGTTATATACTTTTATGGCATATGACCTATTCCAATATTTGTACATATAAGAGCACAGCTTAGGGGCCAATACCTTTCCACGCAGTGATCTCAGCTGGTCCAACAGAAGTTTAGCTTTCATTGATTTCCCAGACAGATTTCTGTTTGTTGGTGGTGAAGGAACAATGAAATGTTGAGGAGTAGATTCTTTTTTGAGACAGGAAAATTTTTAGGGGGCTGCAGTAAAAACAGTAGAATCTGCATTATATATCCTGTATTTAATCAACTAATCTCAACCATATTAAAAACTATATATGTATGGATAAAGAATCAATTTGCATCTAGATAATACATGTTAATATACTGAAGTTTGAAAATACAGTCTAGCTGTTTGAGACAAGTGGGTCCATTTCAGTGTAGATGAAGGCAGACAGACATGATATTACTTTGGTTCCCCAGAAACAAACACACTCTTCATAAATGAGGATACAGTTCAAACTGGGTTCCGGACATCAGAAACTTGGGCAGTCCTGATAGATCAACCAGTTGAACCAAATCTAAAACTGGTGCGTAGTAATGGAAGACCTGCAAACACAGAACAGAGGGAGGTGAGACAGAAAAAAATATGAATGAATGAAATAAGGACAGAAACAAAATAAGTAGAAAAAACAACAACAGAGTTATCAACATCATTATAAAAAACAGATAAGTTCATCATGGTGAGTTTTCATTATTGGGAAATTGTGAATCAAAATTTTCTGATTTCTTTTAAATTGCCATTGGGGGATAGGAGGCCGCATCATTCCAGTCATTTCAAAATCTTCTCACTATGGCTGAAGACTCAGTTTGCCCATTGTATCCCCCACAAGAAACAGTTAAACTAGATGGATTCCAAACTAAAGAACAGAGAAATGTTGAGCCTCTCTGTGATGCACTAAAAATATTTGTTTCTAAGCTAAATGTAAGGTAAAGTCATTCCACTATGTTTTTTCACACACAGAATATCTTTTGTTTTCTGTCAGAAAACAATCAGGTACTTAAGACACTGTAGCTCACATTTATAAAAAGGCTTCCACTTCCACAGTCTGCAGTTATCCTACTTCTCTAATGAGCTCATTATGTTGTGAGAAAATCAATAATATATTAATCATTTGTCACATGTAAAAAGGTCATTTGCATATACGGACAATTACAAGAATACCAAGGAAAGCCTGAAATCTCAATCTCATAATTTATTGATCCAGAGCGAAGAGTGTGCCGACCTATTTCTGACTCCTATAGATTAAGAGTAGACGAAGATTTTAATGATCCCCGATTAAACTCCCAGTTTCACTAGCAAGTTGGGAAAGTTTCTACCTCCACTGTCCAAACGAATGAAGAGACAGATTAATGCGGTGACCCAAACAGATCATTAAGACCTTAACTGTCCTCATTACTTGAAATGGGTTTAAAATTGCATGTGCCTGTGATTAAAATCTTTTTTTTTATGTTTGAACTGTTTGAACATGACTCTGGGTGATTCATTTGTCAACGTGCTGCAAAACTGACTTCATCCTGATTGCTGTGGTATGTTCTGTTTTTCCTTTGCAAGAGAAATACATTATCCTTATTTATTTCTCGTCTATAAATTGCTGTAATCTTGTCCCATGTATTGTACTTTGCCTGTGAATAGCTGTGCACTGCTGAACAGTAAGACCTGTACATTAGCAGTTCATTGTTGTGTTACATAGTATAACAGTCATCCAGATATAACAGGCTGCTGTGAAGGCACTTCACTGATCAACACTGGCTCTGTTATCACAAATGCAACAGCAATCTTACATGTATATTTCTATGCTCAGATACACGTCAGTAACATTGTGTTACGCTGTAGAATTACTTACACAGCCCGTGTTTATTTGTAAAAAGGCAGAGGTAAGGGTGAAACATAATGTCTTTTGTGTTGCCTCAACACATTAGGCATCAGCAAGTAGGTGTTGAGAGGTCGCTGAGAAAAATAGGAGGATGTTTCCAGCGGTGACAGACTGATGCATGACTTTAACTGCAGGTTTAAGTGCTTAGGAGAGGGGGGGAAGTGTTTGAATCTTGTGGCCAGAATACCCAAAAGAAAGTGCAATGTGAAGCTGTTTCCCTCCCTTGACAAACAGGGTTGAGGCGCTTTTTAAAAAGGACACTCCAAGAGACTAAATGTCAACATTTGAATATGCTGCAGGGCAGCTGGATCTGTGCATGAAGGAGAACATTTACTATTAATAAAAAAGTTTTTCTGCCCACAGCAAAATGAAGTTAAGTTAAACAGCTGACTGTGACATGAGTCAAAGGATTTTCCTCCATATCGTATGCTTTGAAAATGCGTACAATAGATGTACAAATAGCTTTTTAGGAGATTTTTGTAAAATTGCTGTCTATTTTTCCCTTTCACTTTTTCACTTGCCCTTTAAAGAAACAGCCTTATAACTGGTAGCATCATTGTACAATAAAGACCTGTACTCCTAACAAGGAATTACCTAGTCTGTCAGTATATCTGGTTGTATTAGACCATTGTTGGCTATTGTGGGTCTAAGTGCTGAAAATCAATAAGTTGCTGTGTGTGTAACTGTGTTATGGCAATACTGCCTTATCACTGCATCAATGGGATAACGTACCATGATATGACAAGTATTAGCATGCACTACATTAGCTATAAACACAGAATATAATCACAATATTTTGCCTATAAACTTCATTGGACTTCCTCAAAATTATGAATCACATTGATATCACAACATAAAATTAAATATACCATGGTTGAACATTTTATCCTTGTAGTTGACAATGTTATCACAAGTGTGCGATATAAGCTGACCTATACTTACTATAATACTTGCTGCAGATTATTCCTAATGCACAGTAGATCTCACACTGAACACACACAGTTCAGTGTGGCCTCCCTGCCTGCTGAGGCAGAGCATGTGTGTGTGTGTGTTAGTAATTACACAACAGTTACTCCTGACAGTGAGGAGGCCTAATAGTTTTTGTCTGAAAACAGTTTAGATTGTATGTGTCTGTGAGTGCAAGTCATTTTGCAGTCAGTTACCACAGCAGTGTGGAGATGTGATAGTTTTGTTGTCCTCAGAGTTTTGTTTTTTTAAATTGTGTGCCAAGACAATCACTGCCATCTGCTTCTCTGTACAGACACGCGCACAGATACACACACACACACACAGGCACAGACAGTTTCACACTCATATGTAAATGAGTAGCATTCCAAAATACACACACCTTAACTATGGTGCTCTGCTGTGTTAACTGAATAATGAGCACACACATCAACACAGACACATATTATCTGCTGCCAGACCCAAACTCACAATAGAAAACACTACTTAAAATGAACACAATACACATATTAAACAATATAAAACAGACGCCGTATCACTGCTCTCGCCTAAAGAGATTATTTTCAGTATTTCTTTAATGTGCAGACATGAGAGAGACATGAGAGAGACATGCTTTCAATGTTGTCTTTAATGTTAATGTTATTAATGCTCTGTATGCATGTGTATGTGTGCTCTAGATCCTACATCAGGCCCCAACTTCCTGGGCACAGCTCTTGTGCAGTTCCATTGTTTTAGATATTCATCTACATAATAAAACTCATTACAGAACTGTACTATACCAACTGTTACAAAAGACCTAGTCTCATATGGAGTACTATTTATTATTTTACCACTTTACATTCAAAAGGTTTGGACAAACACTCTCCATTTTAATCGTTTTTTTCTTATTTTTCATGACTATTTACATTTGGTAGATTCTCCACTAAGGCATTTCAAACTATGGAGAGGAACCACATATTGATAATTTTAGGTAAAACAAAAAAAAAGGTGTTGAAATTAACTCCAAAACATTGTTTTTATATTTTTAGATTTTCTTCCAAGGAAGCCACCCTTTGCTTTGTTGACAAGCGCTGCAAACCCTGGCCTTTCTCTCCAAATTTTGAGCTTCATGAATGTAAGATCACCTGAATTGGGTTTGGCTACTTTTGAAGGAATCTAAATATGAAACATATTTAGGAGTATAGCAGTTAATTTTCACTTTTTTTTTGTTTTACTACATAATTCCATATGTGTTCATTCATAGTTCATAGTTCATAGTCAAAGAAAAACCATTAAATGAGAAGGCGTGTCCAAACTTCTGACTGGTAGTGTAGATGCAGTTTTTTCTTCTTTTAGACATGTCAAGACGTCAAACAGGGACTGTTATTCATTCTTTTCTAAAACTAAACGATTCATCAAATTAATCAAGAAAACAATTTGCAATTTTATTATAAAATGAAGTGATACAGTAGTTGCATATTTAAGATTTACATCTGTTTAAAAAGATATAACTGTATGGTCTTTATTAAGACCAACATATTTGAATGACTCTTGTAGTAACATGCCACACTATTTAAGAGTTCTGAAATCAGAGGGTTAAACTGAAATTAAATTTTTTTAAAATTGTATTGTAAACACAGACATTGTCTGACAATGTTTCTGTTTTTGAAAGAATAAGATTAAGCTAAGCTTAAAGGTGTAGTTTTGACATGAGGTCATATGAGTCACTTACTGTCAATAGTGTTGATAGATGGACATTAACCGAGGCTAGACATTGTGTGGATGGAGATATCACAGTGGGCTGAAAGCTCGCTCAGCTCGGGTCTGCACACACACCAGCTTGCCCCAGTATATGAGATTTTGGTCATATCACACACCCCTAACTGTGTGTTCATTCAACTCTTTAGCTAGTAGGTATGATGTGGGTAAAACAGGCATTAAAGGAACAGATCTCTCCTAAATGAAAATTCAGTCATTATCTACTCAACATAGTGTCAATCAAAACCTCCCCTGAAGTTTGGAGGAACATGGACGTAAAGACATAATTTCATCATAGTCTTCTTTCAAGCTGCCAAAATGAAAAAAACATACATTTCTCTAAACAAGGTTTCCCCACAGCACTCTGGCAGAAAACTCTGCTTGCTACTGTGGGGTTGCTGGCATGTTGGAGAACAAATCTTTGTCAGAGACGAAAGAAAAAAAAGGACAGCCTTTGAAATCAAAATGCAATTGTCTGGAGATAAAAAAAACAATAAATGTAGCTGGCGTAGGTGTTTAGTTAAATGAGATGTAGCTATGACATAGCCTGGTCCCAGACCTCTGAATCGCTGCCAGAGTCCTCAGTTTGTTTAGTGATTAGTGAGGGAGAAAGAGTGGGGAAATCTTCTTCCTACATACTATAGATCGCTAATAAGTTACACCCATGAAAAAGTGTGGATGAGATGGAAGCAGCTATAAGGGTTGGTGTAAGTGAACGTAGAGAAATAATCACCATATTTCTATGATCTTTGTGAAAAATGATAAAATAAAAAAAAAAAAGGTACCCTGTGGAGTTTTCTTGAAAACAAACAAAAAAAGTTGTTTACATGTAATGTCTCTAAACTGACACTTCTGTGTTGACTATAAATGATGTTGGTGAGACCTATATGTCATTCGCTACTGAGCACACATTAAACACATTTCAATGGCTGAATGAACAGGGGAAATGGGAACAAAATGCCAATTTAGTTATCAAACTAGACTTCCCACACTTCACACACAAAAGATGATCATATTCTCATTTCAATGTGAAAGGTTAACAAGACAAATTAAGATCGTAAGATTGGAAATTAAAAATGCGAGAGGTAGTGAAGAACTCAGGACTCACCTCAGACTGTAGTTTGTGGTCTGTAGTCATGTAGGGAGCGCGCAAAAGACTGGACCCTGTCTTCTGTTGCACTGGACAGCGCAGAGAAAAGCCATCGAAACGGAGCTCCGACACATACTGAGGCAAACACACACACACACAGGTCACATAGTAGAAAGTGATTTTATTCTTTTGAGTTAAGATTCAGTGTGTAATATTTAGGAGGCTCTATTGGCAGACATTGAATATAATATTCATAGGTATGTTTTCATTAGTGTAAAATCACCTTAATGAATCGTTATGTTTTTTTTACCCTAAAATGGGCTGCCTATATCTACTGACGTTGTCTTCCGGCTCCAAACACCGGCTCTAAATAGGGGCGTTCTTGTTTTTTCGCAGCCACAGTAGTTTTTCCTTTGCAAAGGAGGGTGAAGCAGGGGAGTTGCAATGTCACTAAAACCTTCACACTGGGCCTTTAAAGTATACATAATCTCTCAAAATAGTTGGAAATTAGATGTACTAACACAACAGAGATACACATACTGTTTGTCCTCACAGATTGCTATGATGTATCAGTATATCATGCAGTTTTAAGTGTTTGCTCTCAAACTTAGTCACAAGAATAGTCATAGCTTACTTTGTCACATGGCTTTATAGTTAATGGTACACGTGCACATGCTCACACATATTAGTTGTTATGCTACGTATAACACGGCTATAAAGTGGTGGTGGTTGTTCTCAGACAGACTTTTGTTCCTTTGGGAATTTTTCTTTGTTCCACCGCTCTCCAACTGTGAAGCTTTTACTGACTGACTGCCGGAGCCCACTCACTTCTGAAGGCAGCAACTTAGAAAAGGTCACTTTATTGAAGGAGAAGCTGCATGCCTGCCTCAGCGTACTCAGAGCTCAGTAGACAGAGCAGAGCAGAGATGACTGGAGAAAATATTTGTCAAGCATGACATAGTTGAGCAGTTGATTGGGATAACTTCAGATTATAGAGTGACTGATACTACATCTTTGAAGTGGATACTGATATAAGTGTTTGAGAGTTTTGAAAATCAGATTTTATTTGTTACAAGTAATTGATACAGTAATAAAACATAACTATGAATATTATATACAAAAAAACAACATTCTGCACTTTCAAATCATTAATTAATTTTTTCATTATTTCTACATCAACAATGGATCAAAGGATTATGTATAATGTGAAAGGAGGTTGCTTGTAGTGATGAACCCACAGAAAATTAGCATCTTTCAGCTCAAGGATTATTTTTAATGCCTTTTACTTAAAATGTTTGTTCAACCTAAGCAAGACCGCACTAAAAACTGTACGTGGACTTTACTACAGAATTACATAAGGTGTTGTAAGCCACTTCTCCTCCTCTAGAAAATATAAAATGTCTGCAACAAAATGACCTTCCAGAAATATTAATTGAAATATGAAACATTGATAAGTTGCTTCAACGATGACTGTTTCTTATCTCCAATTTTCCATGTTCCAATGTTTTTACTTCAGTAGAAGGAATACATGCTAGATCAGAACATTTGCAATCTCTAAAGTCTTAAATCTTTTAAAACATTTTTGGTTACATTAAAGATTAGAAGCAAAAAACAAGGCTGTGTAGTTCTTACAATTCGCTCTCATTTCTTTGAAAAACACATTATTTAGTATAAGATGTATTTTTGAGCCGTTTCAAGATACCTCAGTTGTATATTTTCAGACACAAGCTGAAAATGGCAACTGACAATGTCAGCCAGATTTAAAAAAACACCAACAGTATGAGACATAAAGGGAAACTGTGCAGAAAAACAGATTGCTGACTCTCCCCAGAGGAATGTGGAAGAATAGCACAAAATTGGCAAATTCTGTCCAGAGACAGAAAACTACTGCACCTGCCAGAGTTTCCGCTTAATATGAAAGAAGTACAAGTGGGCATGAGGTAATCTCCAGAGTAGCAACAAAAAATGCTGTCAACTCACCTCAGCCTATTCAATTCGACACTAAAAGGCAGTGTGAAGCTACTTGGAAATAATAGTACAGTACACTACACGCTCAAAGGACAATATCTTATTGTTTACCATCTTGTTGGAAACAATGGGAATTAGCATGCTGACATAATAGCCTCCACACTTCTGGGAAGACTGTTTACAAGTTTTTGGAGCCTGGCTGCGGGGAATAATTCCCCTCAAGAGCATTACTGTGGCATGCCAGTTCATGCCAAAGGTGGTGGATAAGGTTAAGGTCAGGGTTCGCAGGCCAGTCCAATTCTTCCACAACAAACTTGTTTCCAACCTACTTTATCAGATTTGTAATTTTATCTTGACCGAATGCTCGTGTTTGTTAACGTTCCCCTCAAGGCAAAAATGACTGGAGAGTTTGTACAGAGTTTTGTTTTTACATTCAACAGCTTAAATCTATGTAAGCGTGATGTGGAAACTGGACAGGATCTTTTAAAGTGGCCTAACCCTCTCCCCCACCCATCCAACATACAGAATGTAGATAAAGGTGTTTGCCTGGTGTAAAATATCACGTAAAAGGCATAGATTACATCATAGGTACTTCCTTCATCCATTTAGTGGACAGAAATAGATTGAATACTGTTGGTAAAGCCATTATTCATTCAAATAAATGTACCTTTACACTTTAAATTCATAAAAAGTAAAGGACATTGCACCTGCACCTCAATAACGACAGCGCTGTCCTTTAAACACAGACAGAAAGTGCTCAGAGGCGTTCTCTTTGTCCTTTTCCGAAGCCCTCGCCAATAATCAATTGCAGCCGACTCCTCAGGGAGCGAGGTCGAGTCAGAGCGGGGCTCGGCTCGGGTCGGCTCTGCCGGGGCAATGCCAGCAAGGCAGAGCTATTTCCCATGACCCCTCAGTGACTTCCAGTAATACCTCTAGATTCATTCAGCAGCAGATAAAGACGTATCCCCCATGGAGTAAAAAAAATCACTCAATTTAAAATAAAATATGTGAAAATGTCCCTTATAGCCTTGTGTGCACTGCATGAGAAATTCCATATGAAAGGGATAAAGAAAGAAAAATTGGGGCATAAATCAGGTCTCTGAACCATGATTAGCCCCGGTACAGAAGGTTCTTAAGGAAACACTGTTTTCTGTGCTGTCTCTCACTGGGGCCAGCTAGCTGTGCGCTCCAGACTACAGAGAACAGTGCTCACAGTAAAAATCTCTGGGCAAGCAAGCAGGTAAGTTCAAAAGGACACAGCTTTTTCTCATGCCCTCTACAGTACTTATCCAGAATACACACAGACCTGATAAGACTTTCTCTCAACAGCCAGTACTCACAGACATCAATCACACCTCACACACATCAATGACATCTACAGTTCTTCGAGTGTGTACAGATTCACAGAAGTCTTTGTATACGACTCACAGATAAATCTCTACTTTCTTCTTTTTGGTGCGCAAAACGGCCGTCACCCACATCCCGTACACTTCTTGTTATTGACAAACAGCTTTGTCATACTGCAGAGGCATGCACATATGGCACACACTCACAGACACACAACCGTCTTCGAAATCCTTACTCTTCCTCTCTCTAATAAGTCGAGCTATTCGGCCCCCCAGAGTCCTGTGTCGCCAACACCCTCTCCTCTGTGTCTGTAACCATTACGCAGCCTTTTTCAACAAAACCTAATACTGCTGAGCTGTTCTCCTGCTCTACATTTCATAGGTTCAAGTTAGTTAATGTTTCCCCTTTCCTCTATCTCTCTACACTTAATAAAGACAAATTGAAATCAATTATGTAAAAAGAACTGCGTCTCCCCCACACAATTTCTGAGGTCCTTACCTTCTTCTCTCTGATAACCAGGCCGCCCCTCCACACTTCTTTATGGTCGATACAGCTGGGTAGGTCAGTAGGCTCCACCAGACAGGCACTCAGGTAGGATGCTGCTTTCTGCCACCTGGGCAGGGGGAAAAAATGGATCACTCAATGACCAGCACAGGGGAACTTTTATTCCTGATTCCTGTAAATTAGGAATAAAAAGTCCTGATTTATATTAAATATCTTATTTAGGCATGTACATCAGCAATAAATTACTAATTATTTAATGGAGTTATTTTCCTCTAAAATGAGTGCTTCTGTAGAAATGTTGCTTAGACTATTCATCCATCACTTGAAGCCAACACCTGCTCATATTTACTCTTCTACCTCCCCCTAGTGGAGCATTTTAAAAACAAATTCACATGCTGCATGTCCTGGATTTTGAACCATCCTTGCAATATATCATCAGCCTTTCATGTTTGGCATATCACGGTTAACTAATAATACTGTGTGTGTGTATTGGCATACATACATTGTGACAGCAAACCAAGTAAAAAATGTACAGGTACCATTAACACAGTTCTCGTGTTGGTGTGTATGCATATTAGATTTGTTTCATCATTTCCTTTGTGCAACTCATTACCTAGATGTAAGCATGTGTATTTTTTGTCTCCTCACCCAGTTGTGTGCTGTGTGACGACAGTGATCTTAGCGGCATGCCAGCAGGACAAGTGTTTGAGGGCTCCCAGGAGAGGCAGCAGGTCTTTAATAGGAGGGGACTGTTCCGCAGAGCCCAACACCAGAACATCCAACAAGGCTTTACCTGATGGGGAGAAATGGGACAAACCATAGAGGAATTCATTAGACATTGTCTTTCTTCTTCTTTTTTTAACATACATATCTCTGTAGGATTTCATGAGGGTCAATGAACTGTGCTGGTTTCTCCACTGACACCATCTTTTTAACAAGTAGGCAGAATTGCTTGTTTGCAATTCTAAATATCGAGATCTGTGGAAGAAAAGTTGGAAGCCAGTGGTGACTCCAGCTCCTTAGGGCAGCAAACGATGGAGGGTGACTGTTCCCGAACTCCTGTGGAGGTGGTGTGCTACGAAATGCTCTTTACAAAAGTGAAATATCACTTCAGGAGGCAGACTTGCTAAGTAGTAGTTAGAGCAAAGTATCCCTCCCAGTGGTGAGTGCATATTTATGAAGTACAGTAGGCCAGCTTTTATACAAGGCTGCTGCAGGCAGATTTTCAAAACCTAATTGCTTGAAATTGGCTGTCACACAGCTGAGGAGTTTGGCTTCAGTAAAGAGGTTTAAAATTCTTGATACTGGAAGATATTGGCGAATACAAAACTTTTTCTTCAGATATTGTTTTGTGCAGTATACTAACTTCTTGCTCTGTCGCCCTATCACACAACTAGATGATTGTTGTTTTCCTCGTTAAAGCGAAGCGGTGGAAACCAGCGAGCTGTGCTGTAACAGATAATCGTAACACCCTAAATGATCTCACAAGTAGTGTGGAAGCATTTTGGATTAAATACCATAGACAGAATAATTGTTTGAATCTGAATACATTTCATGTTAGTTCTACTTCATTCTAACTAGATATTTTTTTAAACTGACAGCCCTACTGAGCACACAGTTAACATCTTTACAAACGAAAACTACAAAATGACAAGATGACTGACTTTATAGTAAATATAAAGAAAGTGAGCACTATGTGTTATGTTACCTGGAGGTGGCAGCTTGTCTGACAGTAGATGCAGTCCTTCTGCAGCTTCCTCTAAAAGCCTGTTCAATAAAGACATTCCGATTAGTTAAGCCAGACTTGGAGGACCATATTGTAACACTTAGACTTTGGCATCTTTGTAACCATTTTTTCCCCCTTTTTACCTGTTCATTATCAAATTATCTCCTGGTTCGACTGTCTAAATAATGTAAGATAAAATATAGAACTGTTTCCTTCAATTAACTCATTAGAGGGCTAAATTCAGTACAATCAGTGATCAAGTTTAATATGTTCAGATAATATCAACTCACATACTCATATACACATATCAGGCACATTCAAAAACAATCATACTTATTTAAAGAGCATAAAACATCATCTGTCGCTCACTCTGTCAGTGCTGGCTGGTCACCCTCCTGATTACTCAGAGAACTGAGACATGACTCCACAGCAGTGGACTTCTCCTCCTCACTGTCAGTTTTCTGATGGCACGTCCCAAGCTCTTCCCAGTCTGAGCTGCAAAACTACAAAACAGGAAATATAGATTTAGGTAAAAAGTACCTAATTCCAGCCCTTTTTCTTTATCACTGTATAAACAGTTAAAATGGTAAAAACCCTAAAACCATTGCTCCTTAAATGAAGTCTTCTTAGTTGGAGCGAATTAAATAGGAAAAAACAGAGCAATAGTACAGTAGGTTTTATATCATGGTGACACCCTGTATTGATACTTGATTTGTCACTGTTTGAGGACAAAGATGAATAAACAACACTGCTTAAATTTAAATGACTGATGATACCCAACAGCACGGACATGCACAGACATTTTTGGGGGCAGACGCTCAAGTAAAAAATAAATAAATTAAAAAGGGGGTCACTCATCCAACCCATAAATTCTCTATTCCCACCCCCATTCCTAATAACACTTTTCATAATGTGCTACATTCCAACACTTTATTCCTTGAAGGAACCAAAACTTCTTCCTGAAAGGAGAATTAGGAAGGATATAATTGAATTGCATTGACACAGATTTCCAGTAGTACATAAACCTGACTAATTTATTTATTTATTTTATTTTTTAAGCCAATACAATACTAATCTTAGGGGAAAACAATTCAACTATTTGAGATATGGAGGTAGATATAGTAAAGTGTATCTTTTCTGCGTAGATTATGTATTGCTTTTGGGTTAACATAGACTTTACAAAGGTACTGTATAGCTTCCCACCTCACATCACTGCATCAGTTTTGCAGTTGCAACAGTTGGGTCAGAACACTTTGTACAGGCTAATGTAGTTATCAAATATATATGAATAATTTAAACACATTCATTTTACATATACATATATCCATGCAAATGAAAATTGCATGGAGTATTGGAGCAGCCTAT